AACGCGAGGACCCCTCGGGCGTCCTGAACAGGAAGGAGTAATAGCAGCGGTGCCCTGACACTTTGGACACCTGCCCAGCCATTTACCTGCTTTGCTTTACCTGGGAGAGACGCAGGAAGGCCGCAGAGGTGCCTGCAGCTCCTGCTCCATGGCCTTCTTCTGTTCCTTGAGCTCTGAGAGAGTGAGCACTGAGACAGTGTCCAACTCTTCTAGAGCCTGTAGCGTGGGGCAGGAAGTGGAAGGTAGCGTGTTCGGGGCCTGCTCAGGGTTCTCACCTGCCAGGGTGGGCTCTCGGGTGGCCTCAGAGGGCTGGTAAGCCCGTGAGTACTCTTCCTCCAGGCAGCACTGCAGGGAGAGCCAGGTCAGTGCCCAGCCCAAGGTGGAGTGGGGTGGGGCAGGGCACAGAGGCCGAGATCCCTGGGGCAGGGCCCAGCAGGTGTCCATGCAAGCCCCTCACCCCAGCTATCCATGAAGGGGGCCCCCAGAGGGACACCAGTCCCACTGAAAGCTAGGTCTGGCAAGATGGTAGCTGGGCTTGTGCCTGTACCCAGGTTGAGGGGAAGGAAGGAGGCCAAGGGCCTGGGAAAACCCAGTAGGTTAATCCCAAACTGCTGACCCTGACTGAAGGGCTCAAATAGAGCCCTGGGCTTCTGGGACTTCACACCCACCCAGTGTGCGCACAGAGGCAGGATCTGTGTGACCTTCGCGTGCACATACGTGCAGACACATGTGCATGAGTTTCGTACACCCAGGTGAGAAGCGTGTGTTACATCAGCAGATAGGCTCTGGGAGAGGCCCAGGGCTGCAGCTCACCTGCAGGATGCAGATCTCCCTTTCCAAGGTACGACACTCCTCCTCCAGGAGGCCCCTGAGATATAAGGAATCAGGTCTCAGTTGGGCCCACCACATCGCCCCAACCTCTGACCTTGCCAGGAGTGCCTCTAGCTCTCCCTTCTCAGCTCACAGGCCCTCTGCTGCTGCCCCAGGCAGGACCTTTCCTCCTGACCTATTCACAGCTCCCCACCCCTCTCTTCTAATTATTGCCCTGGCCCATGACCCTTCTCATCTCCATCCTTGCCACACCACAGCCCTTGCCCTGCTAAAACACTTCCATGGCTCCCCTGTGCCAGGGGAAAACCCTAGGGCCATGGCGTCGGTGCTAGGCGAGCTGGTGAAGTGGCAGCTTAGCCAACTGCAGTAGCTGGCTCTTCCCACCCTCGGCCTTCGGATGTGGGACGCCCCTGCCAACAGGCATACTGCCTCCCTTCACTTCTCTCTCAGTCCCAGCACCTTGAGGTCCACCTGTCTCCTGTCCCGTCTCCACCTCTACACACACACAGGTGCCCCTGGGCCTCACCTCAAGTGTCTGGCAACCTGGTCGATGGTGGACACATTCAGCTGGTTCTCGATAATGCTGAGGTCCCTGTGGCTGCTGCTGGGGGAGAAGGTCAACATCACCCTCCCCCTGGGCTCACCCCAGACCTCCAGGACACAGATGCCACTTCTCCTGACAACTGTGTGTCCTTTCTCACAAAGGCAAAACGAAATGGTACAAAGAGTAGACGTTCTGGAGCCTGGTTTCCTAAAAGGCTCTGTTACCCTTCGCTGTGTGTGACCTTGAGCAAATCACTCTTTCTTTCTGAACTTTTTTTTTTAAAAGAATTACTGTAATAATTTCTTTTAATTTGATCAGAGAGGGACAGAAGAGAGAGGGAAAGTGAGGAAGCAAGCAGTCAGGTCTAGGACACGAACCACGGTCAGCCATGTGGGAGTCCAGCACCCTTAACCACCACGCCACCCACCGGCCCCTTTCTTTTTGAACTTTAATTTCTTTGTATGCAAAAGGGGGAAGTTGCCCACCGCAAGCAGTCTTGTGAGGATTAGAATAGCCAACAAAATCCAGCCCTGATAGCTTGAAGAAAACACTGGGCGCATGTATGTGCATGCCCCAAATCCCAAAAGGATGGAGAGATGGAGAAGACGGGATTGCAGCTGATCACTTCCCACTGAGGATACTTCCTCCCGCTCTGCCTCACTGGTGAGCATCTACGCCCTCTGATGATTAATATAAAAAGGGGGGGGGGGGGCAG